GTCTGAAGTACGCGAAAAAAAATAAGTCCTATGTGACTATACCATTTCCAAGTGTGAATGTTTTGGCCAAATACCACTGACCATTTTGATTTCCACGAGAGATGTTTTATTATATATGCAGCTTCAAACCGCTAGGAAGGAGGAACATGTTTGTAGGTTCCGTCAGTGCTGCATCCACGCGTCTAATTCTATCATTTATAAAATGATATGCAGTGTAGATCAATCAGTCATCCTCGCGTTTTTCCAAAAACGATCATAAGCGGGGCTCACTTAGGAAGAATTGGTTTTAGCTGAGATACTTGGTTCACGTTGACGAGTTCCCCTGAGACCCTCATGGGTAAAGAGCCCTTTTGATTATACCGAAGTTGACTACAAAACGTTATAAGTTAGTTAATTGATGACCAGTATAAATTGATCACCACTGATCACCAACGTAAATTATGCAATCCCTTTTGCAACACAAAACTTTTTTTATATATTTCTTCCGACTCAAGACAAGCTTACAGTGGCTTTCCCCTTGTCATCGTCCCACTAAAAAGAAGCTGAAACACATCGTCCAAAACAAAAATGAGATAGAGGTTGATTCCAGCGTAGTTTTATCCCGTAAATCTGAATTTTGGGTTCGTTTTCCCCGAAGACCTTAGTAAACGTGAGGAAAGTCGAGAAACCTCCGACCAGTCGTTACGTCATAGGAGGATCTTTCGGCCTACAAGCTCGCGTCGCACGTGTGGCAGCTCTAGCAATTGCAAGCTTGCCACTCCCCTGCACTGGCACCAGTCGTGACATCTTTTTCTGACTTTTCTTTTTTTTAAATAAGAAAAGTGCGCGTGCATATCTTTGATAGGCCCTGGAGATGCTCGAAAGTGGCGATTCCGAAAACTCCTTTCATGACTGCACGCTGCGGGAAGGAGGGGCTTCAGCGGTACTTTGAAAATGATTTTCTGGACTTCCTGGAGGCCAAATTGAGACGATTTAAGTGTATTTACTCAAATATAAAACCGCTTCAGCTTCACTTTAAAGACGTCTCATCTTCAAGATCGCCGTCGCTGAACACTTTTCTAATCCTTCATTAGCAGCAGAGGCTGGTTGCACTATCTCTCCACGGGGCGCGGTGCCGCCGGGGCCGAGATGCGCTCCGATAGCAAACCGAAACTTAAAAACCCTTCGAATGTGTGCGGTTTTTCAGAAAGCCGTAATATGCTTCGCGTGCCTTTTATCCTTCTGCAATTTGTTGATTTAGTGTTTTTCGATGATGCTGAGCAATTTTCTAATTGAAACCATGCCCTTAAACACAATATTAAAAAAGTTAATTACGCAAAAAAAATTAACAACTTAATTATCCCTGACTTTATAATTCTCCCAAATGGGCCCCTGACCCACGACCACGAGCACACCCGACCGGACATTGGGAGGCCCAGAGTTCATATCCTGGCTCCGCCGTTTTTTAGCTTTCGGCGGGTTCCTGAAAACTTCAATTCTTTGATTCATTGGGTTAAGTATGGTTCATTCATCTGCACATATTCGTTTATATATATATATATATATATATATAAAACTGAGAAGAAAAAAACCCTTAGTGAAAAACAGCAACAACGGACGATTTAATCTTCGACGTTTCGGCCGGAGTCCGGCCTTCGTCAGGAAGACGAAGGCCGGAGTCTTCCTGACGAAAGCCGGACTCCGGCCGAAACGTCGAAGATTAAATCGTCCGTTGTTGCTGTTTTTCACTAAGGGTTTTTTTCTTCTCAGTTTTATACCCACGCCTTCGGCCTCCCGCCACCATGCCCGTTATATATATATATATATATATATATATATATATATATATGCCTTTCGAACGCCTGGCCTCCAGCATGCGCCCCATGCCCTTTCACTGCACGCGCGCGCTCAAAGTGCACGAACGCCGACGCGTTTTCAAGGGTATACAGGAGGCTCGCGCTGGAGGCGGGACAACTGACGTTGCTTTCTACCGTTGTCTCCTTATCAGAAACTATTTGGAAAGAAACTTTTGACATATCTACTCAAGATATACTATGTTCAAATAAAAAATCCACAGAAAGTCTCTAGCTTTTCTAATGACACTGGCTACAGGGAGTGAACTGAACATTTTCAACACGAAGTAAACATAACTGCAGTCATCCTGATGGCACTGTCAACAGAATGTCAGCAGAAAAAAAAAATCAACGTAAAGTTGATTCGGTGGTCAAGAGATTTTTGTTTGACTCAGCTAAAGAAAACCATCAGAAAGGTTTCAACAGAAAATGAAAGAAAATCTGTTTACCATGTCAACATGAAGTCAAAGTCAAAAGAAAGTAATCAGAGTCAACAAGAAGTCAACACGTTTTCAATAAAATGTCAAAAAACATATTTGTAAGGGAACCAGCCGCTGCGCTGCCGGTCATAAGTAGTCGCCAGTGTTTTCAGCATCTGCGGTTGAAAGCATGGCAGAAAGAAATGTGTAAACTTGCCTTTACTTGAGGAAACAATAAATTAAACACACATATGGCACATGTTTCACCGTTTTAGAAATAAGACTCCACCTCCAGACATTTTTACATTATAAAACAAAAGTAAGAGACACAATACAGTTGGTCCGCGTTAAGACATACTTAGTTGGATTATACAGTTTACATAAATACATGTACAAACGCCTCCAATAGCCTTTGAAAGAAGGGGAAGAGGCGATTGGTCGCAAAGGTAAGGCAGACAATGAAAAGTTCGCGCGTAGCAGGTTCAACTGGAGTTATCTCATTTGATCTGGCTCTGTGGCATTTGTGTGAAGATAAAATGTAGCACAAAGGCCCTGCAGCGCTTAAAGGGTACTTGGCGGGTGACGTACAGGCCACCTAAAGGAGCGAAATGTCGTTCACATCTGCGGCAAAATTCCTGCCTAGTTTGTTCTGCAAGGTTTAGAAAGACGACGGTTAATAAACAGTAAAAAACGGAAAGCGACAATGCTTGTTTGTACCTTTCACTACGCATGTTCAACAATACTAAAACTGGGCACTAAATTAAGAAAAAACAAAAAAACAGGTATGTTAGTGAGGCATGAAGGACTAAATTTAAGCTTTACATTTGAATAAGATCATTATCACCGATCACCCCAAGCAGGTAACATTCAGAGCCAACCTACCGAATCGGTACATGAGATTTATCGTCCACTTCAACCCCTGATATATTATGCCGTGATTGAAATCCTGTTGTCGTGAATTTGACACGCCGTATTCCGAAAACACGATGAGTGTTAAAACTTGGTTAGAGGCAGAGGCGTATGAAGCGGATACCAGTGAGGTCTCAGATTAGTGAGGGTGAACGGAGTATAGCTGCATTTGCGTCTTCGGGTGTCAGTCATCCCAGCTGTTTTTTTTCTTCTTAGAAGTAGTTTAGATTTTGATGTCTGAAGTGTGTATCTTCTTTTCTTTGTCATTCTGCACTGCCTTGGCCGTCCGTTAAAGAGACACATCACGTATGAGTTGAATAAATTAAGGTGTTTTTTTGCTGAGGAACAGCCTTGGGTGGCTACTTCTTCCGGTTCATAGCTCCAGTCGTGAACAACAAGATAACAAGGCTGAAGAGGCAGTTTTGGCTCCAGAGTAGAATGCCTGAATGTTGCTGGGTGGCCCTCACAGAGGGGTGATAACTCTTCCGTCTGCTTACGGAGTCTCCACCTTGTCTTTAATCTTTTATGAGGTCATCACGCTGTTATTGTCATTGAACATTACCACTCGTGAAAAGGCACCGGGTAACCCCAAGAACACGCAGCGTTACAAATTACATCAAGGATGCGTTTGTTTTCGGCGTCCGTCAGGAGGGAGGAGGCATACTGGTGGCCACAGTAGGGAAAAGGGGGCACTTGCCCTCCCAACGGATGTCGCTACCCTTGCAAGGTGAAGCCAGCAAGCAACATTGAGGCACTCTACCCCCGAGCCATCCACAACGATTGCTTTACGGCGATATAGCTTTACGGGCAACACTTTTCTGAGATTTCGGCGGGGGTCGGTTGCCTTGTGGTCTAACAGGTCTCAGCCCGCAGCGTGGAGAGAAAGCTTGCGTTGCAGAAACTTATGGGTTCGTACCCGTTCCGATCTGGATGAGTTTTGTACCGACACGCGTTCGTGTAATCGCTACTGCGCGATGCACGTTAAAAAAAAACAGGTTAGCGGTTTAACTGCACTGGCTAAATTTCGCACATCAGCGAAGAGACAAGTTACGCGTTGCGGCGTACTAGTATCAGGGCTACATAAGCACGCAAGCAACACAATTTTAAATTTTTACTTCGTCCGCTATCGTCGCCGTTACGGAAAAAAATTCTCTCCGCTAGTACGCGAGGTCAGGGTTTTCTCGTCCGCCATGCTGCACGGAGATCGTTTAACCCCGGAATCCCCACGGCCGTTTTACCAGTCATCGGAGAAGGGCGACCAACGGTCCCCACATCCCCCCTCCTGAATATGTTTAGTGGGCCAACTTGATAAAAAAAAACAAAAAACAAAAAAAAAACCCGGCTTTCATACAAAAATAAAAAAGGAACAGTAGGCTTACCCGAGCCCAAAGGGGCTCGAAGTCGTCGTCCCTGCCCAGTGGTCTACAGGCCACAGCAGGTCGAGGTCAATGTCCACGTCCACCAGGTCCTGTATTCCGCTGGGCCCGACCTGCACTTCGGTGAGCGGCGCTGGCGGTCTGGGTGGAACATTTTACATATTTTTTTTAAACATTTTTCTGAGTGAGAGCTAAAATGAATAAAAATATAATGTGTGTCTCTACCTGCACCACCGAACAGTATAACAAGTTTAAACCAATTAAAAATAAATAAATGGGGCCTACTATGGCCAAAAAGAAAATTTTAATATAAGAGCCAATTCGCAAAGAAAAACAGGAGATACTACGAAGCCACAGTTATTGGAATGGACCTGAAGAAAGTCAGTGCGGGCGTTTACTTATAAAAAAAAAAATTATTTGTATGTATCTATACCTAGGTCTGGGGGGAGGGGGGGGGGGGCTTGAGAGCAAAGGAGGCTTTGTGTCTCCTAGCTGGTGGACGACGGCGACAGAGGGTTGTGTTCATGATGTTTATTCTGAAAAGAATATTTCGTATAAATATTATTTTTTAATTTTTTTTTTTTTTTACTTGGGAGGGTCGGAGGATAAAATAGTGGTATATTAATATTAATGGAAATAAAGTATTTCTCAAGTACTTTAATTACCTGTTCAGTATATGTCATTATTTAAAGAAGTTGTGATTGAAAGCTCAGGTTGTGTTTGAAAAATCCTTTCTTTTCTATTATATTTTTAACTTTTGTTTTACCTTTCATGGCGCTGGGCGCAGTGTCCCCTTTCAAATATATATATATATATAGATAGAGGTATAAGCGACGTGGAAATCTAAGTTTGAAGATAAATATTTCAAAATTGTGTCGTATATTTAATTTTTTCTTTTACTTCGTAAATGTACTCTGACTTCAAATTTTAGGAGAACAGATTGAAATAGTTTATCTCCTTAAGATAATATGAAGCAGTTAGGTTGCTTGGACCGTTCAATTTGAATATCAATATTTTATTTTATGTCTTCCTATTTTATGTTTTCATTTTACTTATTAAACTTGAAGTATTTGATATCTTAATTCATTCAATCTGTCAGGAGTGGTCTTTATATTTATGATTTCTCTTACATATTAAGATATTTGTAACACTATTTCATTGAATCTTTTAGAAATGGTCTTGATATTTTATGTTTTGAAATCGATGTAGTTATCATAATTGTTTAACTTGGAAAGAGTGATTTCAACACGTAGTAACCAGTTAATTCATATAGATGATCTCACTTTCTTCACAAAAGCAATAACATTAGGTGTATTTTTTTTAAGCTAAAGGAAGTTTTTTAAAGCTAAAGGAAGGGGGCGCGGCATCGTCACGGAAACTACGATGACCTTGTTTTTGGTGCAGATGCTGCTATCCGCTGCCGTGTCAGCGGCGCAGCCAACTGCCCCTCCTGGATGCACACTCACCGTCAACGCCCCTTTCTTCTTGGACGCGAGCACCCTCTGCATGGTGGATACGCCCGACGACCCGGCTTACATCCCGCCAAAACTGAACGACGAAAACTTCTTCGCCTGGCAACCTGGAACCATATCCGATGCATGTCTTCAAAAGCACTCAACGCAGCTCTACCAGTCGGGGCGCGGCATCGTCACGGAAACTGCGATGACCTTGTTTTTGGTGCAGATGCTGCTATCCGCTGCCGTGTCAGCGGCGCAGCCAACTGCCCCTCCTGGATGCACACTCACCGTCAACGCCCCTTTCTTCTTGGACGCGAGCACCTTCTGCATGGTGGATACGCCCGACGACCCGGCTTACATCCCGCCAAAACTGAACGACGAAAACTTCTTCGCCTGGCAACCTGGAACCATATCCGATGCATGTCTTCAAAAGCACTTTACGTAGCTCTACCAGTCGGGGCGCGGCATCGTCACGGAAACTACGATGACCTTGTTTTTGGTGCAGGTTAGTTACTTTAAAAATACCGCATGTTTTCACGATGATGACCCTTGCCCGCTTGTGATGTCGTGCCCCAACGACCTGGTTGATTTGTGTAAAAAAAAGCTACTGTGTCTAGTTCTGAACTATAGTTACGTGGCGTTTCTATTGCAGCTTCTCATTCTATCGGGTGATGTAGAACTAAACCCCGGCCCCATAGAAACCGATAAACTAGAGTCTATTCTAGCAGCTGTGCAGCGAATAGAGGCTGGACAGTCCGCAATGCTAGCGTCAATCACGTCGCTTCAAAACAATCAAAAAACGACCGACACACAGGTCAATGAACTGTTGGAGAGGGTCGCTGCGGTCGAACGCAATCTCGCGGCGGTCCCGTTACAAGCACCCCAGAACCCACCCATTGACAACGATAACACAGTAAACTCTGAGCTCTAGGAAATTAGGACCAGGTGTGACGACGCAGAGAACAGGCTTCGGCGGTCAAATCTTTTGTTTCTTGGCATCCCAGATTCGCATTCTGAATCTTGTTTCAATCAGAAGAGAAGATACTCGAGTTCTGTAGGGAGAGGCTTGGACTAACGCTAGATGCCAACAATCTTGAACGATCTCATCGTTTAGGTCGTTTTTTCTCTGAGAAAAACAGACCGATTATTGTAAAGTTTCTGAGGTTCAAAGACAAAACCGCAGTCTTGGCATCGGGATCTACACTGAAGGGCTTCCAATTTGCTGTCCGAGAAGACTTATCACCCTCTGTTCGATTAGCACGGAGTAAGCTGTTTCAATTCGCAACGCCACAAAACGTCCCATTCAAGACTCGTTTCGATAAACTCCGTATGCTAAACAAATGCTTTGTATATGAAGCTGCATCAGACCGTGTAAAAGAATTTTGTGCATAACTACGCTCTGTAAAAAGCCCATCTCGTAATGCTCCCAGTTCATTAACACGTACGGTAACAAAAAGTTCGTCATATCACGTTTCTTTCACTAATATTTGCAGCCTCATGCATAAAAGAGAGGAACTGTGCAGTGTTTTGGAAGATAGTAATTCTGATATTGCTGTGCTGACCGAGACATGGTTGAAGCCAGATGTTCGCGATGACGAGCTATTTCCCGATCACCTTAATCTCTGTATCTACCGAAAGGACAGGCTACTCCAACGCGGTGGTGGTGTTCTTATCGGAGTCAAAAGGCATATCACTTCGTTCTGCATTCAGTTACAATGCAGTTTGGAAATTACTTGTGTCTGTCTTTGTTCGGCTATAATAAAAACTGTAATTGTTGTCTGCTACAGACCCCCGAAAAGTGACTCTGCATTCACAAGTGAATTGCATAAAGTCCTATTGGAGATAACTGAACGTTTTCCAAAAGCGAACCTTCTGTTATTCGGAAATTTCAACTTTCCCAAGATAAGCTGGTCAAGTCTAACAGCCGATGCATCACGTGATTCTCGCGAGTTTCTGAAACTATATTTGCTTTTTAATCTAACCCAGGTCGTTTTGAGCCCAACCCGTGGGGATAACATCCTTGACCTTGTACTCACTTCCTCCCCTGATCTTGTTCGTTTCGTTACCTACAGCAATGGATTCAGTGACCATAAAATTTTGCACATCTCGCTGTCCCTTCCCATTTTGGTGAAGATGCCTGTCAAAAAGGTGATACGGGACTACGGTAGAGCAGATTTTGTGTCAATGAACAGAAATTTGACCACTTTCTTGCAGTCGTACCAAATCCATTTTAATCTAAGGAGTGGGAATGGCAACTGGATTTTATATAAAAATGAATTGAATGCCCTTATTCAGGCATTTGTACCTACTCTGTGGATCCGAAGTGATGGTTGCCAGCCCTGGTATAACAAAAGACTTAAATCACTTGGCAATAAGAAAAAACGCCTCTTTCGCAAAGCAAGACTGACCAGCTGTTCAAATATCTGGGAGAAGTATTATAATTGCCTTAAGGATTATATTCATCTAATAAAAGCTTCAAAGAGAAAATATTTCAATCAGGACCTTCCAACTATCCTTCAGGACAACCCCAAAAAGTTTTGGAATATAATCACGTCAAAAAACAACAATGATATCATTCAACTTGTCGATGAGGGTGGCAACCCAGTTGAGGAAAAAATGTGCTCAGAGGTAATGAATACCTTTTTCGCATCCATCTTCACCGACGAGTGTCCTTTAAATGTGCCTGACCTACCCGCTGTTCACTACGAGGCCATGGCCCCTATCAACGTTTCATCGGCCGGTATTGCCACTCTTATCGATGGGCTCAAGCTTTCATCATCCTCAGGGTCGGATAACATATCATCGAAGATTCTGAAAAATACTAAGATTATATCTAGTGATATTTTGCAACTGATATTTAATCAGTCACTATCCGAAGGTTGTCTCCCATCCGATTGGAAAGTAGGTAGGATTGTTCCAGTCCACAAAAATGATGATCGTTCCTTGCCTTCTAACCATCGTCCCATTTCACTAACTTCCGTTCCATCTAAACTTCTTGAACATATCATTTATTCGCATATAATGTCTCATTTAGATTACAATGACTTCTTCTACCATCACCAACATGGCTTTCGCAGAGGTTACTCTTGTGAGACGCAACTCTTTGAATTTACACATGACCTTCATTGCAGCCTTCAATATCGCGACGAAACAGACGCAATATTTTTAGACTTCTCCAAGGCATTTGATCGTGTCCCACATATTCGTTTAATCTCTAAACTTTCTCGCCTTCATCTAGACCCCCACGTCTTAATGTGGATACGTAATTTTCTTGACTCGCGAATGCAGTACACAGTCTTAAATGGGTACGAATCTGATTTAATTAACGTCACATCTGGCGTGCCCCAGGGCACAGTCCTTGGGCCTCTTCTTTTTCTAATATTTATTCATGACCTTCCAAATTCTATTTCTTCTCACATACGTATTTTTGCAGACGACTGTGTTCTATATCGCGAGATCACTTTACCTAATGACCGCAAACTCATCCAAAAGGACCTAGATAATTTATCTCAGTGGTGTAACACCTGGTTGATGCCACTAAATAAGTCTAAAGGCAAATTAATCCACTTTTCTCGTAAAAGAGTTCCTTCCTCCTTCCAGTATGTGCTGGGCGACGAGATCATTGAAGAAGTCGATAGGTATAAATATCTCGGTGTCGTACTAACTTCCGATATCACATGGATTAATCACATTAACACAATTTCTTCGGACACAGCAAGGACCCTTGGTTACATCCGGCGTTGCTTGAATGCTGGTCCTCCAAAGCTTAGGAAACTTGCATACGAAACCTTCATTCGACCAAAATTGGAATAGGCATCTACAATATGTAATCCACACCAAAATTACTTAATCACCCGACTGGAAGCAATTCAAAACCGAGCAACCCGCTACATTTTATCAAACTATGACTATAAAAACAGTGTCTCTACCATGAAAACGAGCCTAAATTTACTAACTCTGGAGGTACGCCGCAAGGTTGCACGTCTTTGCTTACTCCATAAACTTTACCACTACGATCCCACTGTTCGAAGCTCATTCCTGCGCACTCCCGCACGGTCATATCGTCGGCTCAATAACTC